TCTGAATCGCGACTCTTGTTGCTTTTCCTTCTCGCCAAGTCTGGACTTGAATAGCGCCACAGCCGCCTTGAACCCCTTCGACTGCAGTGCGATAGCAAGAGCTCTATCCTGACAGACAACATGCATGTCATTTCCAGGGTCTCCTGCGCAAACTCGAAATCCCGAATGCAGTCATTAGCTCTGGCGAAGCGAGCGCGCATCAGATGCGCCGCATCCATGGGAGATGCGCAAACCCCGAGTCAAACACAGGCGGAGTTCTATGCAAACTGCCAGTTTGCCAGTTGAAAACTGAGCTATCGATCCGGAAAGGATTGCGAAGAAAACCTCCTAATGGGAGGCTCCTATCCACTCAGTGGATTCCACTGTGTTGGATGAGCACACTGGTTGGCAAGTCTGCCCGGGTCTAGGGTTAACGGTTCAACCAACACTTGTTGGTTGAACTTAAACCAACACTATTGGCTAAGCCCCAGACTTGCCAAGTCTGAGGCTTAGCCAATAGTGCACCGTCTGACTTGGGCAACGTTGGACAGTCACGGCAGTTCGAAAGGAATTCGTTTTCCAAAAGGGGCAGGCGCATTGACTGAACCACTGCGGCAGTGGCACTGCCCCTTTTCATGAAACACGATTTTTCTTGTTCTATCTTGATCTTTCCAACACAATTTGTCTCCACTTGCCGACAGAAATTTCCGCTAAGAGGAGTACGGAACTTGGTCCCAAATCATTTTCACAGTAGTCTACGGCCAGCGTTTCACAGAATCAGTGACTCCGGGCTATCGGAAGTTGCGAATCGCAACTTGCGATTCGTTACTAACTAGTGAACAATCAGATGAAGCATAATCAAAGTCTGCTTTTGATAGTATCAAATTGATACGGTACTTGCTGGAAAGTTGAAGCAAGCCAATCATAGGCGGATTCAGTGAAGTTAGTGGATTGAACCCACTCTCGACATTACCACTGGTAATTTACCAGCAGAAGGCTCATCACCTCTCAGCAAATGCAACAACAAGTCTATGTTTGCACAGGTTTTTCTGGTCCCCCTCCGTCGGTAATCGCCGCAGTGCACCATGACGGACCGATGCCACTCTCCTCGTAAAAACTCCGCGATCCTCTGAGAGGATTCCTCTCAACGGTAGCGACAATATTGCCAGGGAAATATGTGAAACTCAAGACGCTCTGCAGAGCATCTTCGCCTTTCTCAGCATACGCGACAACCAAAGCCAGGCTCTTCTGCATGGACGAGAACGGTCATGCGCTCGATGACAGACTCTGTCATGACCTCGATCACGTTACCCAACGTACGCTCTGCACAGTGCCTGGCACAAGCAGAGTCTATCTTGCGCACTGGCAAATATCCCGATTCCCGAGGGCGCGCAGGCAGGGTCCCTGACTGCCCCTGCAGCAGGAGGTCATAGCACTAGAAGTTCTAGTCTAGAACACGAGGCGGAGCCGTATGCCCACGGCGGGGACAGGGAACAGTTTGCCCTCATGAATGCTTCAATAAAGCAGCTTTATCCAACATACCTGTGACACAAGTCTTGTGTGTGTCCGAAGTTCTGAACGCAAACAAGGCATCCTCCACAACATCGATGTGTCGTGACATCAATAGCTGGGTCAAACAGTTTGCCTCAAACTGAGACTATTTAGCACCACTACAACGCCCAGCGTGAATAAGACTTACCTCTTTATCGAGGAATCTGCGCGGCATCACGATAGCAAGTAAATTGCTGTTGATAGAGAGGTTAGGGTAGGTATAGGTATCCATATAACTGTTCATTGAGCCATGTGCAAATTATAAATCGTAAGTGTAAACCTAATTTACCAGTATGAGTAGAGCGTGTTCCCAAGAATCAGCCTTTTGGGCAATTCTCTAAGGTGAACAAGTCAACTTGAGTATGGGAATGGAATTCAGGGGTCATACACAGCTTACCGAGGGCTTTCAGATGGTGTGAAAATAACAAACATTAGATGGGTATTTCTTTGAAACACCCTGAATGTTATTCGAGGTCATTCGGAAAATACATCATACAGTGTATAATAATTGTAATATGATAAGTTTATCGTAGAAAAAACCATACAATTCTTCCTCAACGGTATCACATTCTATAGGCCAGCTTCACTGCAGCAGAAACAATAGACCCTCATCCTCCTCAGGGATTTCGTGAGCCAATCTTAAGGAGAACACCAAGTTCCACTACCGAGTGCACTCACGGAATCCCATGCTCAGCTCCAAAATGATTCCGTTGTCCCTCTGTAGTGCACCTCAGTCTCCCTCGATCTCAGAGGTACTGTGAAGGGGGTGGTAGGAACAGGCATGACGATGAGGGAGGATTCCTGATTCGAGAGCTATGCTGTAGTACTAGAAGTGTGTATGCAACGAGTACTACTTCAACCACGATGAATATTATATGTTATGTGTTTGCATGTTATACAACTTAATTCAACATCGGACATCAAGAAGAGAGAAACGTTCATAGATAGTAGTACGTGGAGGCAACTAAGCAGTGACTGTTTAGGTAGACTTGGCCTTCTTCGGGGAGGGACCATCTAAATCAGAGACCAACCCATGCATTAATGCCATGTGGTTAGCATATTAGATGTCGAAACCCATATAACCTCCTTCATTCTCCTCAGCAGCCGCAGGAGCCTCAGCGAACTTCTCTTTTCTTTTGAGGAACGACTTGTGATGCGGAGTATACAGCTTATCAAAGTTCTGGCTCTCGAGATGAATACGACCACGACCTGAACAGAGCCCATCAACCACTCCACCATACAGCTACTCAATACGTTGTCCCATGATATCAGTGGTGATATTCTTAGACTTCTTCGGGCGCTCCTTATCCTTATTATACTCGGTAGTAGACGTCTGCGTGGGTAGTCTAGTAGCATACCTGACGGCACCATACAGCACCCTGAGCTAATAAGATTATGATCCTACTTCCACTTCTCATGATCAGCAGCCTTATCTCTGTCCGTCTTGAGATCGAACCTCGGTCCAAGCTCGGTGAGCTCGACATGAGGTAGCTTCGTGCCAGTACGCTTGAATGTCAGATGGTAGTGTCTGCACCAGAGAAACAAACTCTGCTGAGCTGGGGTGATTCAAACACAACTATGTACTACTGCTTCTACTACACCGATGCGACATTAAGAGCAGCGTGCTAGCAGTAGACCGACCTGAAGCATATGAGATGGGATCCAGTTTCCTCAGGGTCCTCCACTGCAGTGAAGACTACGACATGGTCCAAACCGTCCAAAGCCACCGCTTTAGCCTAACACAATGGCACCCCCCATAAGAGCCTGTGAGACCAGGAGTTTTCTACCTGTGATCCTCTGAATACGTCCAATAGCAGGGAGCGAGCATGCTGCAAGTCCGGTACGCTAGCAAAGCCGTCACCCTGGAAGATAACTAGGGGCT